AAAAAAAAGAGATGAAAAATCTGACTTAACCTCCTCTAATCATTAATGTGTTGGATGAGTTTATTCAGCAAAGTCACTTACATCCATTTAATCTGACTCAACAAGTTTCTCACGAGTTTCGATATTACTTGGATACAAAAACAATTTTTTTTTATTGTCAAGCAACCAGGTCGTATACAAACAGCTTTAGTCATCATAGTTGCACTTCTTTTATTACCAACAATTTCAATTGCTAAAATTATTGTGAATTTTCGTTTGAATGATCAATGTTCATCAAGACCACGCCTTGTTTTATATGTAATTGTTCAAGATGGAAATATTCTTCGCATGATAATTGTGTCAATGTTACTGAAAAATATTGTAAATCGCAATACATATATGCGACAATAAAAAAACACATGATTTCGTGTCATAGACCTTTTATTATCTCACAGTAGCAGCAGCAACAGCATGTCAATGATCATTAATAGTTTCAGAAGTTTATCGAGCCTATGCAGAAACAAGTATAATTATCGATATATTTCGAAATGCCTGATAATGACTGATGAGTTGAAATCGATTATTGATTATTTCTGTTTGAATCATATTCCTGATTATTTGGACTTTCACCGACTAAACAACGCTTTTATTGCGTAGCACACTAATTCAATCTCATCAGCATATCGTCATAAGACACCACTTTATCAATTTTTATATGCTAGTATTATAATTTATAGATTTTCTTTCTCATTATTGTGTTTTTCAATTGGCATGTTAGTGATTAAAAAATTGAGATTCTCTTGCAACATCGACACGATGGCAACGTTGACAGTCAATACATCCGGTAACTGCATTTCTAAAATTATTGTCCTCACGAATATTGTTTGCACGTCTGTATATAGATCCATGATCTATTGATAAACAGTCATGACTTTTTTAATAAAAATTCCATCGAGAGAAGTATTTTCGAAAGAATTCCAAACAAATAGTTTTAATGTAAAATTTTGCTTATAAGAAAACTTGATAGTCTTAAAATGTTCAACAAAAAACGAATATGTCTTTCTTGAAATTTTCAATATTCAAAAGAACCAACGGTTTTCAATAAAATGACGCAGTAATCGAGTCAGCTTGAAAATCTAATGCATCGAGAAAGACCTGACTGTTTTCTTTGTTTGTCTCAGGAACAATTTCATTACAACAGTCATAATTGTTTATCACGAGATCATGACGTCTCCAACAATAGCATATGTTTTCTGGTCAGTTTTTTATTATTGATTCATTAGTTTGAACCGGAAAAACCTAATCAAACACTAATAACAAAGAATAACTTACATATCTATTTCAAGTTATTGAATTCTTTATTTTTTTTTCACAAGAAGAGAAAACGAGACAAACATCAATGAAAACAATTTTAATACTTTTCATTTATTTATTCATGTTGATGGAATTAGTGAAGCCAAATTGGTATCATTTTTTGCTTGACTTTTCTTGAAACTATCCACTAATTTTTGTGCCAACAAATTAGAAATCTTATGATTAAGTCGTAAATGTTGTTTGAAATTATGAAGTGTAACTAATCGAAGTTGACATGGTACAGTTGCTATATTTTGTCGAGTATATTCTGATGAATTAATTTGTTCATAAAAGAAAGGACATGGAACTTTATAAAAATGATTAATTACATTTTCATTTCTATCAAATAATTTTGTTTTCCTAGGATCTTGATCATCAACAATAGCTCGTACCAAACGTTGAGCTTAAATTTTTTTTAATCGATGCTTGCGAATAAAATATAAATATAATTCGATTCGACGAGTTGTTCCATGCTCACAAAACTCAATAGAATGATTTGCTTTAGTAAGACCATATGCTCCATTGAATGTTAATGGACATTCACCAAAAATTTTTCTGTATGGTTTTCGTTTACGTTTCTCTTCTTCTTCATTTACATGTTGATCCTAAAAAAATATAATGAATATTTAAATATCATATAGGATTCATTTCATAAAAAATAAAACTAATTTAGACGTATACAAAGGACAACGAACCAAGCTTACAATAGATATCTTTATAATGTCGACTTTAATACAGAAAAGCATAACAATATCGAGAAGGATGAAACATGACATTCATTCTTCCTGATTTTATATAGAATTTGACTGAAAATGAGATGTTATGTATTGAAAATAGGAGCTTGTTACGAGACGAAGTTTATTTATGAAAATATTTGAATTCAAAAATTCTCTAATTTTTGTATACAAAACTAATTTCAATAATTAATTTGTATTCTTGTTAAATATCTTGAAGAGTAAATCTGTGAGATAAGAATATTTCACACATTCGAAAAACAACAAATTGTTCTCTTAGAATTTCATCGATTCAGAAATATACTGTTCTAAATAACCTGTATTGAATATTCCTGTTTTTTTTTATTTACTACTGGTATTTTTCTAATTTAACTATTTCTTGTCGTTGGGTTTAGAGCGAAATTTTCCCGAGAAACATCATATTCATGATTTGTAATTTAAACAAAACTTTTGAATCAGATCTCTTCAAATGTCAAAAAACGTCAGACAAGTCCGAATAGATGTACAATAGAATATATACACGATTATGCTGAGTACAAAGCGCAGCAAGAAGAAACAAATACAACTATCCCAGTTTGCAAAAATTCTCGTTTTTCTATGGTAACACATAGAAGAAAATCTGTTGAATCACATTAGAACTTCTGTTTAACAACATTTAATAAGAACAAATAAGGCTATACTACTATGTTTAATGAGTAATTATATATGATATGGTAATATTTGATATATTTCAATTCAAAAACTGACTTTATCGACCTTTCCGTCTACATAATTATTTTTACCTCAATAGATTTCGTTGTTTCACTAAAAGAAAGAAAAATATGCAATCGATTTCGACTCTTGTCTAATAAAAAAAAGAAACTTACTCAAATGCAACAGTATTAATAAGATCATGATTGATATCTGTTGAATGTTCATCATCTTAAACCAATCATGTTTGTTTTTCTTTTTAAAGTTAAAGAAAATTTAACTTACTTTTTGAGATGTCCAATTCTTCTACTACATCTAAACATACAAAAAAAAAACTTATATTTTGAAGATTTTTATTATCCTACGAGGGAATTAATTACATGACTCGCTAAGAGTAGAAAAAAACGTGAAAGAGATCGTGCTCATGAGCCGATTTAGTGAATTTTCGACTCATCTTTCAGTATTTATTCAAAAATAAATTAACCGAATTTTGCCTATCGATCTATTTAACAATGAACTTGAAATCTGCAGCGAAAAAAAAAGATACTCATTCATTGAGATATTAAATTTGTAATAAATAGACATTGGCTAAAATCAAATTTACTTGGAAATATAATATCTCGATAAATGGACGTTTTTTTTTTTCAGCTGAAACTTTCCGAATATTCTGAAGGTCATCAAACTTATATCTATGGACACTTGCAGATCGAAAATTCGGTAGAAAAGTCATGACTTGGTTCGATCGAAACAAACAAGAATAAATATAATGAAAAGAAAAAAACAATATTTTAGAGAGAAATTTCATTTTACCATTTGAATTCATGTTTTCCTTATTACATTTGCAAACATAAGAACAACAATTTGTTTAAGTGTATATATAACTGTATTTAATTCATTACGAAGATTATCTAATCGTTGTTTATTATTTTCTTTTCTTATTTCAACATGTTTATTCAAATGATATAAACAAATAAGACGTAAACAACAATGACATTCATATAATTCTTTGATTTCATTATTACATGTTATATCAGTACATGGACCTTTTTCGGGCATTTCTAAAAAAATAATAAACAAAGAAATATGAATATTTATATCTGCAGTATTCTTTGAGATATGGATATGGTGCTTATGACAATCGACAAAATATTTGAAATCATTAACTGACTAACAAACACATAAATAGGAAAGAAAAAAGAAAAAAAAGAAAGAATCCAGGACATAATGCTATCATCCTTCGTTTTATCGAATAAAATAGTTTACCTACTAATCAATAGATATATGAATGGTTCATCGTATGACTTTCACAACGAAATTCACTGATGGAAGTAAGCACTAAAAGAAATGATTATGAAAATTTCGTTATAATCACAATCTTTTAAAATGGATTTTCACATGTTAAACCATGACGTGTAGGACATATTTGATTTCAAGAAATAAACAGTCATAATCTCTTAGTGAAGATATTTTTTTCTAATTTTTGCCATCTACGATAATGATTTCGGTTTCAGATAATTTTTAGACGATCGAATCTACTAAGCGGACATATCAGAAAAAGAAACTGACGCAGAACTAACATTCAGGCGTTGACCTCTACAAATTTATTCGACGGCACGGATTGCTCGAGCGCTATGTACATCTTCAGTACATACATCAAACGATAATTTTACACAAGAAAAAGAGAGAAAATATCATTTCTATCAGTTATCCATTCATTCACAGTTAATTTGAATTCTGAAACAATGTGTTATTGTCTTGATTGACGAGATCGGTCAAATAGAATACAGGAATATATCTATATAAAGCTAAGCAAAATAGATTTCGATAGAGATAAACATGGAATATTTATCTGATAAAATTCTTATTTATATTTTGAAAAAAGTGTCTAATATCGATGTACTTTATTCTTTATTTGGTGTTAATAAACGATTACATAAAATAGTATGTGATTCTATTTTTACGAATCATTTGACTTTACTGAAATTTTCATTGAATCATTGTGTTTTACCATTATCTGATCAAATAATTGATCGATTTTGTTTACAAATCTTGCCTGAAATTCATAATAAAATCAAATGGCTTGATCTTGAATCATTTTCAATGGAACGTATTCTTTTTGCTGTAAATTATCCTAATTTATATGGATTTGGTTTACATAACATTCAAGAAGAAAACGCTATATATCTTTTTAATGGTAAGATATTTAACTTCGATTTTTCAATGATAAAAATATTGAAGCTATATATTCGATGAATTCATTTACATCAATTTCATATTTATTTGTCAATATGAATAAGAAGAAAATTCCCATCAAAGAAATCGTTTCAAATAGAACATAATCTATAAATTATCTTCTAAGCATGTTCTCTTTGTAGACAGTAGCATCGATCTTCTTTTTTATAGGTCATTTTCAGAGGTCAGAGGTCAACTTGACAATAAAACTTAGAGTTAAAACTCGAAAGCGAATATTAAGTTTTTTTAAACAAAATCTTTTTTCTCTTTTCCATAGATTGTAGATCCTTTAGGCTGTCACTTCAAAAGTTTAACATTTGCCTTTGAGCTTTAATCCTAAGTTTTATTATCAAGTTTGACTTCTGATTCCTAAAAATAACTCATAAAAAGGAAGATCGATGCCACTGTCTACAAATCAAATTATGAAAGAGAACAATTTAAAAAATAATTTTTAGGCATTAGTGTCCTTTGATATTTTTAGTGTGGTTCATCTAATTATATAAAGTCCGTAACTGATTAGGTATTTGTAGAACCAGAGTATCGAGCTCTATTCTGTACTATATTCATTTCGATGTTTGTTAGAAATGTGATTGTTAGCAAGTGTTAACGTTTTGTGAAATTCACATATTTCACGAAAGGAAATATGAAGTATAAGTTTTAAGGCAAACTTTTCCTGCTCGCCTTCCTACTTTGCTTTCTCCATAGTAATCGCGATCAAAAGTCATTGAGTACGAATCTTCCCTTAGTAACCGAGGAAATAAGAAGCAGAGAGCCAGTAAAAAATAAGCGAAAAAAAAGCTTATGTTCAAGGTGTAGAAATAAGTAAGACAAATCGTTTCTCTAACGGTTCACTATTTTTGAAACGCAAAACTTTTCACTGTATATATTTTGTATTAGTATAACGAAATTGAAGAAGATATGTGAGTTCTACATTCTAGTCCTACAGAAACTTCATGAACAAGCTTTTTTTTGTTAATAACTAAAAAAGAATTATACACTTTTTTTTTATTATTTAGATGAAAGTCTTTTCACTCGTATGTTCAAAAATCAAGTTTCATCAATTGTTATCAGTATTAATGCAAATGGATCACTAAGTTCAAGAGAAGATGTATATGCACGTATATTTATGGGTATCATTACTACGTTCAGTTATCTACAATTTTTAAATTTTTGTCCATCTTCAGCTTGGTATCAAGAATTATCATTTGGTATTTCATCTCCAAATGTTTTCTCTTCAACTCTGTTAGAATTACACGTTTGTCTCAGTCATTTTACTGATTGTCTTTATTTACTTGATGGACGTTTCAATGAACTTCGTATACTTCATGTTGTTATTAATTTCATTTCTTCTTCAAATTTAACAATTGATAATCAAGTAAATTATTTTGATTAATATTTAATTTATTCAAATGAAGTGATATTTCTTCTTTTTTCTAGAAAAAACTTCCTAATTTAAGATCCTTTTCATTGTACTGTAATAGAGATACATATGTTTATGATGAATTAATTGTACCACTTCTGTATCGAATGTCTGATTTAGAAAAACTTGATTTGTCTCTTATAATTTCGGGCAAAGAAACATTTGTTGATGGTAATGATTTGAAGACAAATATTATTAATAAAATGCTATTCTTGAACAAATTTACATTTAATATTCGTTCATTCAGTCATTTTTATAATCAAATTAATATACCGTCAAATGAAGATATTCAACATACATTCAATGATTATAAAGATAATCAAATTATTTCTTGTGTTGATTATTTTCCAAACAGAAATTCTAGTCAATGTCATATTTATTCATATCCATATAAATTAAAACATTATGATAATATAACAAATAATTTTTCAGGTGGAATATTTAAATGTGTTCGTGAAGTATTATTATTTGATGAACGTCCTTTTGAACATGAATTTTTTCTTCGTATTGCTGAATCATTTCCATTGATGGAGAAATTGACTTTAATTAATATGAAACCACAAATTAACAAATTTTATCAACAATCAATAAATGACGATCAACATTTGTCAATTGTGATTAAATATTCTCATCTTATGAACCTTAATCTTACAAAAATTGACGAAGATTATCTTGAACAATTTTTACTCGATACTAAAATGTCTTTACCAAATGGGATTTTTCTTCAGACAGATTATCAATTACTAAACGACGTCACACACAACTTTACAAGAAATGAAACACGAAACAATTGTGCAAAACTGAAAAATATCTTTTTCATTAACAAATCAGAATTTCCTGAACATTTAAAAGATTATTTTCCTTGCGCTAAAATACTTTGATTATTATCATCTCTTATTTAAATAAAAATATGAATAAAATCTCATTCATTTCAATAGAAGCAATTTCACTGTTGTTATCATTAGAGAAAATATTAACTCGTTACCTTGGACTTTTTTCACTGATGAAAATAAATCATTTCAGAACACAAGCACCAGAATTGAAGTCAAAAGTATATACACTTACATTGGATTGTAAGGGCAGTCAAATATCATTTATCAAAATGAACGCCATACAACTGTTTACAGTCAGGCAAGGAAAGTATTTTGATGTCCAATAAATAACTGTAAAAAGTCGTTAGAATAGGTTATCACTTTAAAACAT